TCCTCTGTCTGTCACTCACAAAACACCGGGAATGTCTTCATTCTTGGGAGATACGCCACGGGATACAAAGTCACGGACTTTCTAACTGCTGGAGGCTCAGGGAAAACTCTGGCTTTGACCAGTCCAGTGAGCAACAGCATCCCTTGTGAGGCTTGCCATGAAACAGGGTTGACCTTTCTTCACATTGGTGGGTTGGAGTGGGTAAGGGCTCCAGCGGAAATGAGGGTGTAGCTCTCTGGGGTACCAAGGATAATAACATTCCTTGGTCAGCTGCCCAGGTTCATCTGGGGTCAGCTAAACTCTCTCAGCTCCCCATAAGAGAAACCCAAGTTTAGGATTTCCAGAAGAAACAGATGTCTTTGTTAAGAAGCACAGACTGCTAGCTGGCCTTGTGAAGGGACCACATCTGGTCCTTGGACTCCAAGTGGCATGGGTCTGACCTTGAGGCTCCCAGAGAGAAGACCCTGGCATGAAGGCCTGAGTTCAGTTCAGAACTGGGGCTTCTCATGGGGAGTCAAGAGAGCAGGGGCCCAGAAGGAGAGGGAAGGCAAGGCTTATTTAGGGGGTTCACCTGGCCCTCCATTAGCTCTTGATAGTGGCATCAGAAATGACTGTCCCGGCTCCACCAGGCAGTGTACTAGCCCCCAGGCTCTGTGACAATATTGGGCCTGCCCAGCTGGACTCTGGACACTGCTCTTGGCCTTTTTTAAACTGTGACTGTCCTGGCTACTAATCTGGCCAAGGGAGGCTGTCTGAATCTCAGATTTGACAACATCTAAGGAAAGTTGGGAAGTGTTAAGACCCTGCCTCTAGAAGGCTGGGGCTGGGACAGCTTGTAGAGTCTGAGTGTCCACTGCTACACCTGACCCTTGCAGCTTGCCCCTCCTGCCATGAGACTCTCCCCGAAGGAACGGGTCTTCATAGCCCTCTTGGGGATCGCAGCAGCCTCGGGCCTCACCATGCTCCTGCTCATCTTGGTGAAGGCCACCAACGTCTTCCTGCCTGCAGACACCAAGGTTTGGCTCAGGGACCTGCTGAGAGGGTTGGGCTGGGTGACCAGGATGTTGGCCTCCACACCTGTCTGATCCCAGTGTTATTCTTAGTTTGGAATCGTGTTTGACGCCGGCTCCTCCCACACATCCCTGTTTGTGTATCAATGGCCAGCAAACAAGGAGAAGGACACGGGAGTGGTCAGTCAGACTCTGGCTTGCCAGATAGAAGGTCAGTGGGTAGTCCCATAGTCGGTCATTGCTTGGACTCCCAGGCAACGACAGGAGGATCACTTGACGGTGGAAACTACGTTTCTAGACCTCAGGAAGGCACCTCAACCGAGCAGTGAAGTGAGACGCAGGGTCACTCGGTTGGGCTGTGTCCGGTGGGAATACACACATGGATCTCTCAGACACTGTCCCTCCCCCAGGTCCTGCGGCTCTGGTATCCTGGGGCATCCCTTTTAGGTCCCACGCCCACATTGATGACAGAAGCCAACAAGTGCTGGGTCCTGAGTTCATTTCCTGGGCTTCCTCTCAGTTCTAGAGTCAAACGCCTGAGGCCTGGGGGTGGCAGAGCCATACTCTAGAAGCCCCAAAGTGGGAGAAACTCAGGGTTTCCCACCTTTCCCTGTAGGGACAGTAGTCATGAGACTTGGAGCCCACTATACAAACACACTAGCCTTATCTGTAGGTTTCCTTTTTTTTTTTTTTTTTTTGGTTTTTCGAGACAGGGTTTCTCTGTGGCTTTGGAGCCTGTCCTGGAACTAGCTCTGTAGACCAGGCTGGTCTCGAACTCACAGAGATCCGCCTGCCTCTGCCTCCCGAGTGCTGGGATCAAAGGCGTGCGCCACCACCGCCCGGCTCATCTGTAGGTTTCCTTTGTTGTTATTTGGGACAGAGTCTTGCTGTGTAGCCCAGACTGGCTTTGAACCCTCTATCCCCCTGCCTCAGCCTCCTGAGTCTTACGATGATAGACAAGCACCATCCAGCCCCATTCAAAAATCCTTAACTAAGCCTGAGAACCCTTCCTTCTTCCATAAAAGGTCACATTCACGGGTCCCAAGCCCTAGGTTGTGATGACGTCCTCGGGGGCCACCCCTGAGTCCCAACCTTCAGATCTGGAGCCTTTTCCTAGGGTACTGTGTTTCAGGACCTGGGATCTCTTCCTACGCCTCTGACCCAACACAGGCTGGGGAAAGCCTGAAGAGCTGCCTGGAGGAGGCGCTGGCACTGATCCCACAGACCCAGCATCAAGAGACGCCCACATTCTTGGGGGCCACAGCAGGAATGAGGCTGCTCAGGTGAGGTAGTACCAGGTTTCATCTCTTAGGGTCACTCCAGAAAGCCAGGCTTGAATACCCTGGGGTGAGGAGCGGTGGAGGGAGGTTGGGGTGAGGCTTTCCTCCAGCCTGGTCCCCTCTACCCAGCCAGAAGAACAGCTCTCAGGCAAGAGACATCCTAGCTGCAGTCTCCCTGACACTAAGCAAGTCTCCTGTGGATTTTTGGGGTGCTGAGATCCTGGCTGGGCAGGATGAAGGTGCCTTTGGTTGGATCACTATCAACTATGTCCTGGGGATGCTCCTCAAGGTGCAGAGGCAGCCCAAGGGTGAGGGGTGGGTCTGAGAGACCAGTGCCTGCAGCTGGCACCAGCGGCTGCCCACAGCTAAGCGTCTCTTCTGTGGTCAGTATTCCTCTGGACAGTGGATTCTGCCTGAAGACAGGATGCTGGTTGGTGCTCTGGACCTGGGTGGAGCCTCCACACAGATCAGCTTCGTGCCTCAGGGCCCCATCCTGAACCAGAGCAGCCAGGTTACCTTCCGTCTGTACGGGGCCAACTACAGCATCTATACTCACAGCTACCTCTGTTTTGGGCGGGACCAGGTCCTGATAAGGCTCCTGGCTGAGCTGGCACAGGATAAACTGGTATTTAAAGGGTGGAGAAGTGGGATGGCATGGGGGTAGAGTCGGGGAGTGTACCAGAGCCTAGAGTTCATGGCGTTTCCTCTCTCAGCAGAACAGCTCAGAACCCCGGGTCCAACACCCATGCTACCATAGCGGCTACCAGGCCACATTGTCACTGGCCCCGGTGTATGAGTCGCCCTGTGTCCACACTACAGATTCCCTGAACTCCACTCAGAACCTCACAGTTGAAGGGACAGGCAACCCCAGGGACTGTGTGGCAGCCCTCCAACATCTCTTCAATTCCTCCAGCTGTAAGGACCAAGACTGTGCTTTCAATGGAGTCTACCAGCCTCCTGTATATGGCCAGTTCTATGTAAGCATGTTCCCCTCCCTCCCAGCCCTGGCTTCCTTCTGGGGCCCCAGGTATCCTTCCGAGGTGCCCCGGCTGGCTCTTAGGGATTCTGAAACTGGGGAAATATTTGACTGAAGTGTCCTGGGCCTCCCTCAGGCTGACACGGCCTTCTCTACGCCCCCCAGGCCTTTTCCAACTTCTAATATACTTTCCGCTTCCTGAACCTCACCTCCAGGCAGCCGCTGAACATTGTCAATGACACGGTCTGGAAGTTCTGTCAGACACCCTGGAAACTGGTAGGTGACCTGACCCTGGATGCGGCCCTAGCACCCTCTCCATACCGCACCGTGGTCAAGCAGGGCCTCTGGGGTCTTACTGGGTTTTCCTGGACAGAGATTCATGGCAAAGCCATGTTTAGGTACCAGGATTGGGGAGGAAAATGCCGTGGTAGGGTGAGTGGCTTGTTTTGGGTAGAAACAAGTCAAGAGCCCTGATGAGATCAGCTTCTGGTTGTCATGAGGTTGGCCACCCCACCCAGTCCTAGCTGGAGGATGGTCTCCATGGGGACTTAGAGGACTTTTTTAAAAAAACATTTAACACTTTCCTGCTGTCTGGAGACTGTTTGGATGTATGGTGGTCCCACTATCGCTGGGGAGGGGAAAATCCTAGGAAGTACTGGGGAATCACTTTTACATCCGCTTTTGGAACTCAAGGTGGAAGCCAGCTACCCTGGGCAGGAGCGCTGGCTACGGGACTACTGCGCCTCAGGCCTGTACATCCTCGTATTGCTGCTGGAGGGCTACAAATTCAGCGAGGAGACCTGGCCCAACATCCAGTTCCAGAAGCAGGTGACTGGCACCCAGAGCCTCAGCATGTCTGGTTCGGGGTGAGAAGGGGATGGGGCCTAGGGCAGGCACCCAGCAGCCCTGAGCAGCCGTGTGTCTCGCAGGCAGGTGGCATGGACATTGGCTGGACACTGGGCTACATGCTGAACCTCACGGGCATGATTCCAGCAGAGGCACCCACCCAGTGGCGGGCGCAGAGCTACAGCATCTGGACGGCAGGAGTGGTGTTTGCAGTGCTGACCCTCGTGGCCGTTCTAGGAGCAGCTGGAGTCCAGCTCTTCTGGACCCAGGACTAGGGGAAACCAAGCGGAAATAGATCACAGGCTGTTCCGCATCTAAAGCAGGAACAGCGTTCGGATTCAGCAGCAACGGCATAAAAGTCTGTGTTGTCTACCTTGTGAGCCACCATCGACCATCCTCAGGAAAGAAAGCCTTTAGCACACAGGACCCACAGGACCCACGGCGCACATCCTGGATGCGTGTCCTCATGAACCCCTGACTTTTAAGGGCTCCAGTCCTTCAAGCAGACCAAGTGGGCCAATTCCTGATAGTATTGACTCCCCTCTGCCCTCAGGGTGGCACTGGCTATGGGGTCTGTAATCTTCCAAGGGATGGAAACAGGAGGCTCTGGGAAGGGGCAGCTGTGGGACAGGGCTACCTCCGAAAGCTGTGACCAGCCCAGCAGGACTAGGGCTACCTCTGAAAGCGTGGCCAGCCCAGCAGGACTAGGGCTACCTCTGAAGGCGTGGCCAGCCCAGCAGAAGCCCCTGCTTCCTCGCTATAATCAAAGTAGACCAGACAGTCAGAATCCAGGTCTGTGGGCCAGCCCAGCTTCCCTCTGCCAAGAACTTTTGGTTGGATCCTCTTTATCATCAACCCCAGAAGACAGACCACACAGAGATGAGGGGGATAGTTTGATCCTCTTTATCATCAACCCCGGAAGGCAGACCACACAGGGATGAGGGGAAATTTTTTTGTTTGTTTAAATTAAAACTGATCTTGTCACAATGTTGCTAGTGCCCGTCTCCTGGCTTGGGTCCTGGAACAGCTCCGGCTTCCACACAGGCACCAGCTGGGACCACAAAGCACTTAGGGAAAATGCCGATGCAGCCGTCTCGGTGTCCCTCCAGCCATGCTTCGTCCACTGTGGAGACATGCCTGATGCTGTGTCTGCTTACAGCCAAAACCCAACCCTATAGAACAGAGCCCCGACCAGGCCTGGGCAAGCCAGCAGCTTTGGGGAAGGCTGGTCTTGTTCTACCTTCACACAGAACATCCACTGTGTCCCCCTGGCGGAAGTCCAAATCCTCAGGCCTTCGGGCTGTGTAACTGTGCCGAGCCACTACCTGGTAGAGGACTGGTCGGCCCCAGGCCCCCTGTGGCAGAAGGGTGGGCTGCAGGGGTGGCACAAGAGAGGGGCTTTCCCCTCCACCTGCTGGGGCTGGTGGGCATCACGGCCTCTCCCCCTGCCTCACCCGGCACTGGAGATGCAACCCTCGTGAGCCCACGGCCACATTCCTCCATGCACTCTGCAGTGAGTCCTCCGTGGAGATTGGGGTCCAGAACTTGTCTCGTGGGGCCTGGTAACTACGAAGAGGGTCCTGAGTGTGCGCTACAGTATGTAGGGGAGTTCCTTGCGTCTCCCCCGAAAGGAAGTTAACCTCGGTCCCTCTCCAGCCCCAGCCCTTACTTCCAGTGACTGCCTAGGATCTTAGGCATAGAGCTAAGAAGGCCTTAGCTTTGGTCCCTTCCTGGGCCGGAAAACTGACCAGTTCAGAACAGAACAACAGCAGCAAAAATCCCCATTGTCAGCTCTGGACAGCTCACTTCCTTGTAGCTGGGATCCACCCTTTTCTCCTGCAGCCTAGGGTCCCCTCCCTCTCAGTTTCTGACTCACCTGAGCTGCCCCCTCTGGGCCTGGTGAAGGAGGGCTTGAGCCAGCAGTGTACGTAGGCTGGACAGGTCAGTGCCCCTTGGGGCCTTCAGGGGCACAGTAAGGTGGCACTGTACAGTGACAGTCACCAGGGATTCAGGGTCCTCAGCAGCTGTTCCCTGAGGACAGAAACAGGGTTGCATAGCCTTTGAAGGCAAGGTGGTCCTTGTACCCAAGGGGTCAGAGTAGGGACCGGGCTACAAGGAGGAAAATAGAATCTGAGAGAGGGCTGCCCTTGCCTCTAGTGGCTGGTGAGGAGGGACTGGAGAGGATAGCTCTTACCCCAGCTTCTGAGGAGTCTTCAGGGGGGCCTGGGTCAGGCCCTCCAGATGCCAGCAAGCTGTAGCATTGAGCACGGCTCATGTGACCACCTTTCCACAAAGAAGATACTTTGAAGTGATGAATGACTAGCAGGCAGCTGTCCTCTGCCCCAAACTTTAAGGGACAAGTGCCCATGTCCCAGCTCTCCTGAGGTGGCCCCCCTCCCCTATTGCTCAGGATCCTCTTACCCATAGACGCAGAAGACTGATGGCCAACTAGCTCCATCTGGGACCTCTGCAAAGGAAGACAGGGGTAGCAGGACCTCAACAGAGGGGGCAGCTCAGGTGAATCAGAAAGCTGGAGGGGAGGGGACCCTAGGCTGCAGGAGAAAAGGGTGGATCAAAGCAACAAGGAAGTGAGCGTTGTCCTGAGCTGAGAAAGGGCTTTTTGTTGCTGCTGTTCTGTTCTGAACTGGCTCTCACACACCTCACCTGCAGCTGTCTTGACACAGTTTGTTTAGTTGGTTTTGTTACATCTCACATTATACAGAACTGTTTTTGTATAAATTGCCTAAAATTTATTTTTTCAAGATTTGAATGCCTGCCAGTGTTTTTATTATTTAGCTTGCCAACTTTCCTTCAGGTGGGAGGGAATTTAATCAACATAAGGAGTCATTCTGTCTACAGATGTGCCCAGGTTGAGGTGTGGGGCTACCACCTTCCACTTAAAAGCATGTTTAACTGGATGTTGAGAGCCCACTTTGTATGTCAAGAAGTTACACAAGCATCTTAAGGCTAAGCATAAAGTACAGTCCAGGCCAAACATTTTGCCATGTTTCAATAGAGAGGTCACCTTTTCCTCAAAATTCTACAATTCAGAATTCAGTCCTCAGGAGGGTTTTGCACCAAGCATGGGTTCTTGTTTTTTTATTTACATAGATCTAATTCTACCATGAGTCAAGGAGAATAAATATATCCACAGCCTCCTTCCCCCACTCCCCTTGAAATGTTCAGTTCTCACTGAAGCTGGTAACCTGGCTGCTTTCTAGTTATCAGCTCTACACCCATAAAAGCCACTTTGTGGTGGCTTTTCCTAGACTTCCCCTGACGTGGCTTTACCTCTGTTGGATATTACAAACACTTGCACCCCCCCCAGAAGAGTGTGGTCCTGGGTTTGGGACCTAAAGTACAGGGGTCTCTAAACCGCTCACCAGGCTTGAGGTGATGGGTCTAGACTCAAGGGAGAAACTCCTTGGGCTTTATCCTGGCACCGCCAGCGGTTAAAGATGTGGTCTGGGAGCTTGGCCAGCAGTTGGCAGGAAGTTTGGAAGTAAATGCATGGTGGTCCCAAACTCTAGGCACATCTGGGGACAGGGTTGGGTCCCCATAAGTCTAGAGTCCACAAACAGGTAGCCAATGGGGGGGGGTCAGCCTGCTCCCCAGGCCTTCTACTGGTCCCCGACTCCAATTTGGTGGCTTCTCCATGGACCTTGAGAAACCCAGGACAGACTCTAAGGAGGTGCCCAGCCTCGGGTGCCCCGAGTTGGCGAGGAAGTGGAAACCTCTAGCCTCTGTTGGGCACTCATTGACGTGGCCTGTGAACTAGGTTTAAAAGGAGACTATGGAAAAGCAACGTTTGGCCCTTGTGAGGTTTACAGCCCAGGGCAGGAGCTAGGAGATGCAGGTTTAAGGACCTGGGGATTTTGAGCACGGCTGTAAAGGACATTGAACTGCTGGACTGGGATGAACTGAATACTGGAGAGAAAAGAGGTGGAGGTGACTCTAAACCGCTCACCAGGCTCTTAGGGCTGCACTAGGGCAGCAGGGGTTTCTGCCTAACCACTCCTTACCCAGGCACAAGGGGATCTGACGACTTACAATGGCCAGGAAGGAGGCTGGCATTGTTTGGGCCTTCTGGCCTGTCTTGCCCCAGGCTGTCTTGTGATCACTGTATGTCCAACAGAGGCTCCATCCTTCTGTTGACAATCCCCGTCAGGTCCCTGTGGTGGGTTTGAGTATGTGCCAGTGAACTGGCCCTGCTAGCCCATTAACTGGTGTCAGGCCACGATGGCTGACTGAGCATATCCCTAGCCTGGCTACCAAGGAGCTGCCTGCCCTCCCAGAAGCTTACGCTTGCTCTGGTTCATGACAGGCGAATGAACCGAAGTGACCAGCCATCCCTGCCAGGTCAGAGCTGTTCCGCAGGAAGAGTGGGAATGAGGTGGATGCCAGCTCTTTGAAGGCCTAAGTCTAAGGCCATAGAAAGAGGGCGCCCTCATTCTCAAGGCTTTCCCATCAGCGACTCCAGCCCTGGACCCAGCCTGCTAAACTTTGTTTCCTTATCAGCACACAGTTCTACAAACCAGGCAGAGATCTGCTCAACGCCTACCCACCTACCTTCTGAGGCCAGCCATCTGAGCTGCGGTTGTCAGGGATAACAGAAGCCACCACCTGGTGGGGGCAGGAATACAGCTGGGTTAGGGCCCCATTGAGGCTGCTCCTCCAGGTCCCCAATTCCTGGTCCCTCTGTAGCTGTATCTGCAGGGTGTGGGCTTCCTACGCCTAGCTCAAGACTGCTAGATCACTACAGCAGTGAACACCTCAGGCAGTTGCGCATGGTCACACAGTGTTGGTCCAGCACAAGGGCTGTTGCAAATAACCATAGGCCAGCCCAAGGGTCATCCATGCAATACCAAGTTGGCCTCTCTTTGTGACACTCTAAGTGACTGGTCTTTTGAGTTCCTCTCTTATATTTGAAGGTGGGATATTCCCCCATAGCCTGTGGTTTAGGGGGGGGGCCTGACATGGCCCAGACGGGCCACCACATCCCTTGCTGTCTGTACCAGAGATGCAGAAACAGAAATACATAAAAATGCACAGATGCTGGGAGCATCTGGGAGAAGAGTACGGGGTGGGGAAGGGCACCAATAGGGATTCCCATCAAAAGGCCTGAGCCCTCTCCTTTAAAACTGACTTACTTCTGGTAAATTCTGTCTCTGGGGCTACAGCCTCATGTATGAACACCCAACCCCAACCTAGGAGTCGTGTGCCCACTCTCTACCTGTCTGACTTTCAAGGGGCCTGAACTACACCCCATAAACACATTGTGGGAGCCACCACACTGTGAGTTTGACATGGGCTACAACTGCCATTTTGGCAGCTGGGTACCCAAGCTGGAAAACACCCCAGTGCTTTACCTTAGCCTTGCCGAGGAAATCCATGGGCTCCAGATGCTGTAGGTATTTCCTGGGAGGCTGGAAGACCTCACCCTTGGGGACCTGCCGCAGCTGCAGGGGTACCTGTTTCTGGGATGGAGCATGCAAACCTGGGTGGCCACGGATACAATAACTGAGCCTTGAAGCAGAGGGGATGCTTGGGCTCTCATCATGTGACTCACTACAAGAAGTATGGGGCACCCCGGCTCCCTCTCTCCATGTCCTATATAGTCTGTCTTTAGGGCGTAAGCTATAGAACCTGGCTCCAAACCAGTGTGACTGTCACCTGCCCTCCTTACCTGTACTTGGTCCAGGGCAGTGTCCAGGATATCTTGGGCGCCCTCTGGCCGTTTGGAGATTGCCTCCTCTAGAGTATCGGCAGCCTTGGTCCAGAGCCCTGCCTGGCACTGTGCTGATGCCGTGTTGTACAGGACCTAGGAACAGGACAGCCGTGACGGCAGGGGCCAGGCCCCCCAGATGGTCTTCATCTGAACTCCCCAGTCATAGTAGCTGGAGGCTCTTCTGTGAGTTCAGCTGCCATAGGCGCTATGGGTAGGGACCAGGCCACCTGCTGCCTGGCTGGCTCGGTGGTTAGATGCCAAGTGCTCATTCCCGGTATCTGTTGAGTCCTCGGAGGGCCGTGTTTTGCTTTGAGCTTTTCTGCTTGAAACAGCAGAAGTAGCTCTCTCTTTTAAAGTGTCCCCCCCGTGCTGGGGAGGGGTGGTAGCTGGAGAGATTGCTCAGGGGTGAGGGTACTCACTGCTCTTCCAGAGGAGTTAGGTTAGATTCCCAGCTTTCACATGGTGGCTCACAAAGTATTCCCTTGGCTAACACCCTCCTAATCCTATACTCTGTCATCCCCCATTAACTGCTCTCTGTACCCCGGAACCTAGAGTGTGTCTAAGGGTTCCCATTGACTGTCCAGGGACATTCAGAACCCCACCTTCAGAACACTCTCATGGGCAGGATGAACTGAGTTAAGGCTATTCTACAGACCCAGTGACATGTGAAGTCACGATGCTGAGAGCCCATCCTCCCCTCACCAGCTTTGCTATGCAGAGAGAAACCCACCCACTCTCCCTAGGTCCTCTGTTCCTACTCTTTCCTCTGGTGCAGCAGCAGGTGCTGCTGAGCCGTTCCCCTTCCCCCAAACTGGTCTGTCACCTTGTCGTGATCTTCAATTCTGTACCGCTTTTCCCCCACATGAGCCCATTCTGGCTGGCTCCCAAGTGCATGAGTAGCCTGCTCCCTCTGTGGCCACTCCGGCCTCCTTGGGCAATCAAGGAGCTGGGGGATTTCAGGGCTCCAAAAGTCTTTGGCTGGACAGGACACCTCAATTCCACATGGCTGACAATGCAGTAGCACCAACATAAAGGTGACAGCCCCTGGCAACGCTCTAGATTTCACCCTAGGACTCCAGCCAGGACTTCAGACTACAAGATAGGATGCCTAGTGCAACCCAGGACCATGGCAGAACCTTAGAACTCCCATGAACCCTAGATCCCCCCCCCCCGCAGAACCCCAGGGCCACAGAGCACCTCCAAGGCCCAGCGACACTACTTGCTGTCCAACCCTGCACACATGGAATGCCACTCACCTCCCAGGCGTGCAGTTTGAAGTACAGACCCAGTTGAGTGTAGTCAATGGCAGCATTGCCTCTCAGCTGTGCCAGGGCCAGCTGGAAGTCAGACACAGCCTCCTGGAACCTGTGAGCAGCAGGGGCCTCTCAGTAACTACAAGGGAGGAGTTGAACCTGTGAATCAGCCAGCGAGGAACAGGGGACCCTGCTGCATGCACTCACCTCTCCAGCTGGAAATTGGCCACTCCCCGCTGGAAGAAGCCAACAGCCATGCAGGGGTCCTTGGTCACTGCTTGGTCAAATGCCTGGGGACAAAAATGCTTGTGGAGCAGCACACTCAGTGACCCAAGAACCCAATCCCACAAACGCATGTGGAAATGTATTAACGGGCAAGAGCTGCTTGCAGTAGGTGCCTGCCAAGCTGGAGCCCGCACAAATGTGCCGCTGCATAGACTTCTTGGCTGCAGCAAGCACCTCATAAGATCATGTATCTCTATGGTACAGAAACCTATTCTGTCTACAATGAGCGCAGAGCTAAAAGAACATGCTCCAAAATGTCAGTAACAGTTGTCTCTGGGAGACAGGATTGTGTAAGACTTTGGCTTTTAAAAATCTCTTTTCCGGGACTGGAGAGGGCTGCTCTTCCAGAGGTCCTAAGTTCAATTCCCAGCAACCACATGGTGGCTCACAAACATCTGTAATCTGATGCCCTCTTCCGGCGTGCAGGCAGACAGAGAATTCACGTCCATAAAATAAATAAATCTTTGAACATCTCTTTTGGTAGTTCACACAAAATGGTACACTACATATCTATTAGAATCAGAATAGCAAAGTCTTCTGTGTACAGGCAGCACAGATCCTTAAACCAGACACGGAAATGTCTGTCCCCAGCAGGGAACGCAGCCATCAGCTAAACTGGTGTAGCTTCCTGATACCAAAACTGGTCAGGTGGACTGACTGTTGAATTCCATCTGACTTGAAGTTTTCCCACGCCACAATCTACCTGGAAACGGGGTGGCTGCTTGTAGCTGCATCCACCATTGCAAGTGTCACAATGACAGGGTGAAGTGCAGTCACATCAGAGCTGCACCCTTAGTTTTCCTTATTGCTGCTGCACCACCTGCTTCTTAGAGTTTCCGGGTCTAACCGATATGCCTAGGCTTTTACACATTAGTTCTGTTGACTTAAGGCAGTGCCCATTCTTCTAGGGCAGAGCATTCTAAAGCCCTCTCTAGCTACAGTGTGAGGAGGTGAGCGCTGGACGGCTAACACATGACTCACTGTTGAACACCTGGTAGCAGATCGTTACATTCCCTCTCCTGAACAATAACTTTTTCTTTGTTCTATTTTTGTTGTTGCTGTTCGTTTTTCGTTTTTCGTTGCTGTTGTTACTGTTGTTTTTGTTTCTTAAGCCTGGGTTTCCCTGTGTAGCTTTGGAGCCTGTCCTGAATTTTGCTTGATAGACCAGGCTGGCCTCGAACTCAAGGGATCTGCCTGCCTCTGCCTCCCGAGTGCTGGGATTAGAGGCAGGCGCCACCATGACTGGCTTGAGCAATAGCCTTTTAATGAAGAAGCAATTCTGAAGTAATCGTAGGGGCAGATGCATATGTAAGAAGTAACAGAAGAGGGCTGGCGAGATGGCTCAGCGGGTAAAGACACTTGCCACCATGCCTAAAGACCTGAGTTTGATCCCTGGGTCCCACGGGGTGGAAGGAGAGAACTGACTCTCACAAGTGGACGCCTAACTTACACACATTTGTAAATAAATAAACAATGATCATTTCAAGAAAGAAACAAGAGGAGAGACCATCTCTGCAAGCTCTCACTCTTGGGGCCTGGGTGTCTTTGCTTCTCATCTGTGTGGTGTCCAGGTCGATCACTGCCATATGAATGACAACGTCTAGGTTAGTGGCAGGATGCGGAGGGTTTACATCACACACCCAAGAATAGCTGTCACTTTGAGGAGCACAAGCAGGAGATGCCCTGACTGCCTCCTCTTACAGTGTGCATTACTGAGTTTTGCTTTGAGAAGCATTTGGGGAGACATGGGAGAGCTCAGGACTGGGAAGACAACTGTGTGTGCCTGCATCCCCACAGGCAACGGCTAAATCGCTTTCCCCACATGTGCGCCTTCACAGGACAGAGCCCAGCCTGCTGACTCTGGCCCAGCTTCCAGCCTGCCTTCAGGGTGCCCCCTCCCCCCAACTCAGTCCTGAAGACCTGGCCTGGTACAGGACTGATGCATTTGGCACATGTGGCTATGTGCCCTGTGCCCCATTTTGGCCTCAACTAAGAGAGGGCTCTCCCAACCACAAACCTCCTGCCTGCTTCAGGCAGTCACTAAGAGGGAGCATTAGTGGAACCATCTCTAGGTAAAGGACAAGGTGAAGGGGCAGGAATTCTCCCACTTCCAGGAGTCTATGAGGTGGAGAAGGGCGTCCTTTTCCAGGGCGTCCATTCCACGATAAGGATTCATGCCCGCATTTATGTCTTCATTTGCATTCCCCTAAAGGCCTCCACCAGGGATATGCCCCTATAGGTTTCTATCACCAGTCCCAGGAAGCTTACTTACCCGCAAAGCAGCCTTGGGATCCCCCGCCATCAGACTCACGCAGCCCATGTTGAAGTACATCTTGGCCCGCGGCTCCTGGACATCTGAGAAGAGGCACAGGGCGCGATCCCAGTCTTCGCTTGCCACGGCCAGTACGCCCTGATGCCAGTCCCGTACCTGATCCTCTAGAGAGCTCATGGAGCTGGAGAGACACCTGCTCTGCCGCGAAAGAAGTCAGCGATTCTAGTCGGGAGAGTGCGGGGCGGAAGGAGAGTGTCCCACAGGAGTTGGGGGGCCGTGGGCCAGGGATAAGGGCTCGGGGCCAGGAGAGCAGAGAAAAGCACCTGATGAGACCCGACTAAAGTGCACGCAAGACACCTGGAGTTGAGACAAGGGGTGACTGAGACCGATTGCCCAAAGCCCCGCCCCCGCCCCAGGTCCCTCCCCGAGGCTCCGCCTTGAACCACCTAACCTCAATCCATTGCACTGAGGGCCGGGTCTCCCTCCGATCACATAGCCACGCCCCTTCATCCTCCAGGCCTATCTGTCCACGCCCTGGCCCAACTCAGCGCCAACTAGACCACGCCCATCTCCATATGGACACTCCCTCTCACCCCGCCTCCCGGTTCTTGCCTCCGCCCGATGTGACCGCGCCCCTTACTCAAGCCTGGCCCACCGCATCTTACTCACTACAAGCTCAGAACTTCAATGGGCCCTGAGCACTCTACGTCTTTTACTCCGGTCAGCAGAGTGTTTAGAAGAAAGTCGTCCGGAAGCGCTGCAGCGATCGGGCCAAGACTCTTGGGACAAGTGTGGACGGTGCATGGCAGAGCTGCCTATCAGCGACTTCAGGCCAGGTGGGCGGCTTGAAAGATAAGCAGCCCAAGGATTGGCAGAGCTCGGCCGAGGGGCCCGCCTAGTACGTGTTCTTAGGAAGTGACCGGATGGGCTTGACGGCTCCAGGAGCTACAAGCTGTGCGGGACTGGCTGCAATGTGACTCCCCTGGTTGGGGTCTCTGAGTCTGGCATAGGCCTATTGGTAGTGCTGCCTACATACCTTTCTTAGGTAGTGGGAGCTGGCCTGGATGCTCCTCCCCCTTGCGAATATGGCCACCGAACTGGATCTTCTTCCACGTGCCTTTTACCCTGTGTGATCAAAGATGTCCAAAAACTACTAGTTGGACAGGGCTTGTGTCCTTGTATAGACAGGTGGGGCGGCCCAATATGGACTGTGCAGGACACGTAGAGGTTGATGTCTAGCTTCAAACATTCTGCTTGGATGAGGCCCACCCACAGCATAGTAATACGCCTTACCCAAAGCTGCTGAGATTTTCTCCCTGACCAGGTGTTGAGGTGCCATGACTTGCCCAGGTTGGCTCACGAGTAAGCACCACAGCACCCAGCCCAAGCAGCTAGGATCCACTGTACTTGGGCCCATTCACCTTCCTGGCCTAGTTCTTGGTCTCCTGTGCTCGGAGTTATACAGCTGGTTCTCCTTCCTGGGTGACCCAGACAGATACTGAGCTTTTCATACCCTTCATCCTTATGGGTAGCAATAGCCGCGGTCAATTCTGTCCTGGCAAGGCCTTTATGAGAACAGAATGAGATCACGCGGATGGTCTCAGCCAACTCTTGGCTCTTAGCAGAGTTTGTAAACCTGAGCTCCTGGGGTTTTGTGTACCTTGGCCTTCCTCTATGGGTGAGCGTCCCTAAACTTGCAGTCTGGAGTAACCTGCCTCCTCCCCCTCCTCCTTCTCCCCCTCCTCCTCCTCCTCCTCCTCTTCCTTCTTTTTGTTTTTTGTTTTTTGTTTTTTGTTTTTGTTTTTCAAGACAGGGTTTCTGTATAGCCCTGACTGTCCCGGAACTCGCTCTGTAGATCAGGCTGGCCTCAGATTAACAGAGATCGGTCTGCTTCTGCCTCCTGAGTGCTGGAATTGAAGGTGTGTGCCACACCACCTGGCCTGACCCGCCTTCTTTAGGTTCTGGTACAGCCATTCTACCCAATCCCCAGATCCTGCATTGTCCCTAAGCAGGCTGCCACACTCCCATGTGGGCTCCATTCCCTTTTGTTTTTCAGTGCCCCTTCCCAGAAGGCCACCTTAACCTTCAACCCTGCCCTCCCACCAGCCCATATTCTTTCCCATGGGTCACAATTCTTCCTAGAGTGGCCATAGCCGATGTGGTGGTTTGAATGAGAATGACCCCCATAGTCTCAAATGTTTGAGGGTGGTGTTCCAGTTGGTGGAACTGTTTGGGAAGGACCAGGAGGTGTGGCCTCATTGGAGGAGGTGTGGCCTCATTGGAGGAGGTGTGGCCTCACTGGAGGAGGTGTGGCCTCATTGGAGGAGGTGTGGCCTCACTGGAGGAGGTGTGGCCTCATTGGAGGAGGTGTGGCCTCACTGGAGGAGGTGTGTCGATGGGGGTTGGGTTGAGGTTTCAAAAGCCTGCAGCATTCCCAGTTAGTGCGCTCACTCTCTGCCTCACCCTTGTGGTTCAAGCACTCAGCTACTGCTCTAGTGCCATGTCTGCCTACCTGCCACCATCCTCCTGCCCTGGTGGGCATGGACTCACCCTTAGAACTGTAAGCCCCAAGTAAATCCTTTCTTCTATAATTTGCCTTGTCATGATGTCTGCAGAGCACTAAAAAATAACTAACACAGTCCGCTTTCTTATGTTGCATGGCTGTCCTGAGTTCTACAAGGATTTCCTCCTGAACCCCAAAGGTCAGCCACAGTGACTTCCTCCTGAGCATGGACGATGAGTTCCTCATACAGTTCACATGGATCATGAAGGCCAGGTAGCTTATGTTTAAGTGGGCAGGGACCCTGTGGAGTAGCTGTAGTGATGACGTCCTGTCCAGAGGCATGCCAGTTGGACAGACACATGGCCTTTGACTCTGTGTGGGTCCATAGTCCTTGTGTGGCTGCCATTTGAGCATCAGGGGTCCTCTGGGAATGATTTCAAATCCACTCATGAATCTTGAAGAAGGAGTGAAAATTGCAGAAGTCAGGTGGAAAGTAGGCCCTTGTCTCTATGCTGGGGACTGAGTTTTGCTGAAGAGTCCAAGGGACCAGCTAAACCAGCCTCAAAAGGCCATATCTGGGGACTGGAGAAATGGCTCAGCAGTTAAGAGCACTGGCTGCTCTTCCAGAGGACCAAGGTTCAATTCCCAGCACCCATATGGCAGCTCATAGTTGTCTATAATACAACTCCTGTTCCAGGGGATTCAACACCCTCACACAGACATACATGTAGGCAAAACACCAACGTGCGTAAAATACAAATAAATAAATTATTTTTAAAAGTCCATATCTGAGACAGTTTGTCTTTAGGACAGAATGCTCAAGGAGGTGAGGTCATTTAGCCACTCCTCCTCTGGTCTTGTAGGGTCTAGAGATCAGATAGAAATAAGCAGTGGAAAGGCACCTCTAGTGTCTCCTCTGTGTACATGAGACACATTGGGGAAACACGAACAGAGACAGACACACGGACCTCCAATCACTGGTACAAAGCCCTCCTTTAATAGCACCATGGAGGCTTAAATACCCAGCAGTCAATGGCCAACAGGTGAAAATCCCATCCTCTGATTCTCTAGGGAAGGCACAGCTTTTAGTAACTCCGAAGCTCACAAACTGTATTGTAGTGCACTTAGCTCAGATGGGGGTGCAGTGTGCTGCAGAAAGACATTAACAAGTGTGGGTGAGGCTGTGGTAAAGTATACTGCAAGTAGAAGCCTAAAATGATACTAATACCAGAGTGAAAAATAATCTCATGATTCCTCAGGTAAATGGAAATGTATCCACACAGAACTAGTAAACACTCTGTACACGAGTGTTGTGGGACAACGGTCTTGTACCCTGTTACTTGTATTGTTTTAATAAAATGCTGATTGGCCAGTAGCCAGGCAGGAAGTACAGGCAGGGTGACCAGGCAGAAAGTAGGGGCAGGTCAACAAGAACAGGAGAATTCTGGGAAGAGGAAAGACTCAGTCTGCAGTCATCACCCAGACGCAGAGGAAGCAAGATGAGAATGCCTTGCTGGTGAAGGGTACCAAGCCATATGGCTAACACAGACAAGAATTATGGGTTAATGTAGGATGTAAGAGTTAATAAGAAGCCTGAGCTAACAGGCCAGGCAGTTTATGATTAATATAGGCCTTTGTGTGTTTCTTTAGGACGGAATGGCTGCAGGACCAGGCAGGACAGTAATCTCAGGCAATAATTGATGGGTGTGGGGTGGTCCCTAGCAGGCGATGAGAAGTTCTTTCATTGAATTGTGTACTGAGCATGTACTTTTAGAAGGTAAGCTTTACTGTGAATTATGTTAATAAGTAATGTGGGATTACCCTCTATATGTTATGAATATGTTTTATTATCATTGGTTAATAAAGAAGCTGCTTTGGCCTATGGCAGGGCAGAACATAGCCAGGCTGGAAGAGATATAAAGAGAGAGTAGGCGGAGTCAAGGAGACATCAGGTAGCTACTGAAAGAGACAGATGCCGGAACCTTACCAGCATGCCATAGTCTAATATATAGATTAATAGAAATGGGTTAATATAAGATGTAAGAGTTAGTTAATAAAAAGCCTGAGCTAATAGGCCAAGCAGTGTTGTAATTAATATAGTTTCTGTGTGATTATTCAGGTCTGGGCAGGTGGGAAATAAAGGCGCAGTCTCTGTTTACAGGTAAACTATAGGAAGTTTCTGAGATGCATGCAGAAATGGGGAGAGCTTGTGAGTAGTGCTGTTCTCAGAGGAGGTCTGAGCCAGCCTGGCTGCAGAGGCTCAGCTATGCCAGCCGGTGGTCTCAATATCTACCTTTTTCTGGCTGCCCTGGTGCCTCTGGGATCTGAGGGATGGTGGGTTCTGTTACTAGTAGGCTCTGCGTATCAGCTCTGTCCCCCTGGAACTGGAAGATACAGTGAATTTGTAAGTTTCCTATGTATTATTGAGAGGGTTGGTGGCCACGTGCATTTGGTTATGAGGACAAGACACCAGACCTTTAGTAGGAGACTGCCAACTTCAACACTATATTCCTCAGAAAAACCTAGCACATCTACAAGGAACAGTTCAACTACATGTGTAATTCTGGATTTTCTACTAGTACACTGTCGTGGTTTGAAATAAAATGACCAGCCAGGCGGTGGTAGCACACGCCTTTAATCCCAGCACTCAGGAGGCAGAGGCAGGCAGATCTCTGTGAGTTTGAGGCCAACCTAGTCTACAAGAGCTAGTTCCAGGACAGGCTCCAAAGCTACAGAGAAACCCCGTCTCAAAAAACCAAAAAAAAAAAAAAAATTTTAAAAATGATCCCCAAAGGGAGTAGACTAACAGGAGGTGTGGCCTTGTTGCACTATCTCTGCCCACCCATCTGCCCCCCTGTAGTCCTA